ATTTTTTTTTTTACATGTATGGTATAGACTTTTTGATCCACCCTCCGTATCAGTTAATGGCGGTAATAACACTTTCCGTTTTCAACCGCAAATAAACTCCATACGAAGAAGACTAAACCGGAAGTGATGAATGGACGCACGCACCGGAACTAAAATGAACGTATACAACAAAGATGGCGTCTCCCGGTGAGCCGAAAGTGAATGTTTCCCACGTGGAGAAAAAGAAAAAGGTTAATATTTTATGAAATAAGGCGACAACACATCAAGTATTAACTGCTTTATACTAAGAGTCATAAATAGGCGCAGTTTATTTTGAACTCATTGTTTATGTTTGCTTAACGCTTTAGCTGGTTGTGTTGCTAACTCGGTGCTATGTCTCTCTTCGGTGTGATTCTTTCAGCCTCCAGCTCGGTACTGGTTGAAGCAACAGGACGAAGAGAACCATGAAAGCAAAGATGGAAAACAAACAGAGGAGGCTGGCCAGCGGGAGGAGAAACAGACAACGAAAACAACGAGAAGCAATCAAAGAGATGAGCTGACGTATGAAAATAAAGCTGGGGAGGTAAGAAAGTAGAAAAGGTAGACTCATCGACGTGCCAAATCAAATGCCTTTCGCCTTTATTGACGTTCTTATGTTCTTAAAGCGTTTACGTAAGTGGACCTAGAACACTAATGCGTAAGAATCTTGATACAACACTAATACCTACTCTCGTAAATTCGTATATTTTCTTCCAGTTATTCAGGCTTATGTTTATCTTAAAGTGGCCTCCAGGCTTTCTAAATGTCTTCAATGTTTTTCTTTGGACTTTGGCTCCTGTTTTTTCTTAAGTTCGTGTTCATTTCATAGAGATGTTTTTCTGTTAGTTGAGCTACTAAACTCTTCTTAACCCCTGACCTGTGAGTCACTCAGGCATGAACAGGGCTCTAAACACGAGCTATGAGACGATGCTCTGTCAACACCAAACAGGCAACTTGATAAAGAACCGTTTTTAAATGGAAATTAGCAGCCTATCATAGACGCATTGTTTCCAGTTGCATCCACAGAATGTATAAAAAATGGGATTTACCCCAGAACTATGATGAAATTTGTGTTATCCATTGAGATCTGCAAAGTTGTTAGTTTGTTTGAATTATGAAGGAAGTAATTTTCTAACCTTTTTCAAAAATTGCCCTTTGGTTAGAGTACTCATCCTCCAGTGAGAGAGTTGGTGGTTCACTTCCACCAGGAGTCACATGCTGAAGTGTCCCTGGGCAAAACACTGAACCCCTCATTGTCTCCAATGTGTTTCCCATCAGTGTATGAATGTGATCTCAAACTCAGATTAGTCTCTACAGATTCAGATTAGCTTTGTAGAGATCTAGTAGAGTGCTGTGTGGAGGTAAATGAGGACACAGGTTGTAGTGTAAAATGCTTTGAGTATCTAGACTAGATAGAAAGGTGTTATTATAGGTATTATATTATAAGTACATTTTCCATTTGTTCTTTGCAATGATCGGATGATCGGGGGGGGGGGGGGGGGGGTGTTCCAGGCTTATGCAGGACAGGAGTAAGGAAAGTGCATCACTTTGGTACATGCTACATTTGATGCTGATTTGTTCAGTTGGCTTTAAATTGGCCTCTGTTTTTTTTTTTTTTACTAGTTAAATTTTATTTTTGGTACAGGTGTAAATAATCCTCATTATTTTCTAGAAATTGGACCCTTTCCCTGGACCAGCTGTTATCTCAACAGACAGGCTGCAAAAATTCAAGAGGAAAGATAATGCTCAAAAGGTAACCAGACATACGTTCAAAATGCGTCAGCTTTGTGTAAACTTTTTTTATTAAGGCAAAGTGTTTTTTTTTTATATATATTTCTGTTTTTTATTCCAGACTCGCAAGCAGCGGTTCTTGCTGCAAGACGTGATCACTCGTTCAGAAGAAGCTTCTGAAATGGCCCAGAAACAAGCTGCTCGATTTGACCTCCTGCTCCCAGAGGAGGCTGGGTAATTTCCTCCTAAAGATGCAAGCCTGTTCTTTATGTCACTGCCTTTGCCTCAGCAAAAATCAGGGGATTAAAATGTGTCTTTTTTCATTCAGATTTTTAGAAGGAGATGAAGATGAGGACACATGTATGATAACACAGGAGGATATCGCAGATGCTGTGGATGTGACATCTGGAGCAAAGGTATCTTCTTGTTGAGCTCTCAGATTATAACTTTTGTTTACAGCAACACCTGATGTGTACCTGCCCAATGAGGTGTAAAAAGCACCATTTTGTTTTTATTGTATGTATTTTTTTTTTTTTTTCAGAGAAAGAACTGCTTGCTGTGACAGTTTTGTCATTGTCCAACTTTTTCTAATTTATTTTCTCTGCTACAGTATTTCAGTCTGAAAATGACTCAGTTTGGACCATATCGAGTGGATTACAGCAAAACGGGCCGGTTAGTATCACACACAGTACGCTTAGCGTTGGTCTGAAGGGTCTGTTTATACCAAGTGGTGGTTTGTGTTCAATTAGAGATAATATCATAGCTTCATACACACTAACTCAAAGGTTTTCAGTATCTATTTTTAATGTGTTTCGGAAAACACTAATTTTAATTGTTTCTTTTGTTCACAAGTGGGAAATGTATAAAACCTGTTGAACAACAGATGAAACTAAAGCTCCGCCTCCTTTATAAATAAAAGATAAAATGCTACTCAAACCTAAATAATACCTTCTAACATCAAATATGTAATCATCTATTTATTCTTTGTTATTATTAAATTCAATTGTCTGAGATGAAAACGGCTATCCAGAGAATTTGTAAAAAAAAAAAAAATAATGTGTACAAGTTGGACCACAAGAAAACGTAGTGAGCACTGCTGTCATTAATGTAAAGTGAGATGTAAACCAGTTTAGTTAACGTTGCGTTTTTGTTACAAAATAAATGCATAAAACAACTGTGTCCAATACATTGGGCCTTTTATTTTCCAAGAGATTTTATTTGAGAAAGGCTCCTGCAACAGTCGGTGGTGATTTAATGAAGAAGATGGATTCACCTGTGTATCAAGTCGTATTACTAACTAGAGAGGATTAATACATAGATGCAAATGTGTCTACTGTAATATAACTAGTACAGTAGACCCTCGATTATCGTGGGGGTTACGTTCCAGACACCACCACGATAGGTGAAAGAACGCAAAGTAGGAATGCTATATTTATTTTAGTATTTATATATTTTAAGGCTTTATAAACTCTTCCCACACTCTTGCAATGCTCTAAACCAGGGCTATTCAACTCACGGCCTGACAAAAAAAACATTATTTTGTCTTCTAGGTTTGGTTTCTGTTTTATTGCATTTATGATTCAATGCAATAAAACAAACAAATTTAAAATGTAACAGATCATTGTAAAACTTGGTTTATTTACATAATGATTTTAATTGTTGCATGTCCGTCCCCTGAGCTGCTGGCTCTCAGTAACTGTGGCCCCCTGAGCAGTCTTGTTCTTAAACATATGTAATTTTAACTACATACGTACATGTACTGTACAGTACTGCAAAATTTTACTCACCAGCTCTGCAGAACAGCAGCTTGGTTCTGGTTCTACTGTCCTGCCCTGCAGCGACGAAGCCCATCGCCCCGTCCAGGTTAATGTACGCTGGATAATTGAGCTTAAGGATTATTTGCAACTTTCCTGCCAGTTCTGTGAGCTTCAAAGACAGATCGTTACTGCTTACTGCGTTGTAAAACTACCCCTCCATTTTGGCAGAAAGCAGTGGCCGGAAGTACCGTTGGCTTCTTGGTAGTGTAGTTCTTTTGACTGGTATTACAGTGTAGGCTTATTGAAAGAAAACTGCAAAATGGCAGCACCTGTCCCAAGTTTTTTCTGTTTTGTTAACTTTTTATCCTGTACCGTCCCAATCATGTAATGTTAAAGTTGACAATTGTTGAAAAAACGTGAAAGAGCGAGTCTGCGAAAGTCAAACCGTGAAGTAGCGAGGGACTACTTTACATGTGAAACCTTTTTTTTTTTTAAGACTGTCCAGTTTAACTTGCTGCAGAGTTGTTTTGCAGTATGTGTTCATTTTACTTGTTTCCAGTGGGTGTACTGTAGTGATTAATGGTCATGTTGGAGTATATATTTACACAGGTGAGTGGGAGGCACCTGAGCTGGTTCAGCAGACATGAAGCGATTTTATTGTTTATTTTCACTAAATATGTTGCCTCTTTTTACCTCACCATGACCTGGTGGAACAAGTAGATTATTAGATTTAAATTCTAGAGGGGTGCATTTATCGCCATCATGTTTTAAGATTCACAAGCTCTTTGAGTTTTTTTTTTAATCTATGGGTAAATATGGTGGTAACGTTAGTACAAGTATGAGGATTTTAAAACAGAGTTTCAGTTCATAAATTACAGATTAATTTGATTAGGACTAGATTTCCTCTTGCTTTGCGTGCCAATATTCCGTTGATATGTGGTGTGTGTGTTTGTGTGCGTGTGTACTGACGTCATGTGTTGTTTACTGCAGTCACCTGCTGCTTGGTGGAAGGAGAGGTCATGTGGCTTGTGTAGACTGGCAGACCAAACAGCTCATGTGTGAGATTAACGTTATGGAGTCGATCAATGATGTAAAGTAAGTTTTGTCCCTCACACAGTGCAGAACCTCACAGACACAATAAATGTCACGTTTGTGACTAAATGTTTTGTCCATATTTGACAATTTTCTAAATACTGAGACACATTTCTCTTTTTTTATAAGGTGGCTCCATACTGAGAACATGTATGCTGTGGCTCAGAAGAAGTGGCTGTATATTTATGACTCCAACGGGATCGAGCTGCACTGCATTCGCCGGTTCAATGACGTCCTTCGAATGCAGTTCCTCCCGTACCACTTCCTGCTCGCCACAGCGGTGGGTTTAATGTCTTGCACACTCTATATAATAATGCTCAATGCCAAGTGTGCCACTGATGTTCAAGATTGTGCTCCCAAATAAGGTTTTTGTTTTTGGTGAAGTCCTCAAATGAAGTTTACAAGGGTTGGGAAAACTGAAATAGAAAAGTTGGAGCAATTAGAAAATATTGCAGAAATGGAAAGCTCACCATTTTGCAGTTAAAAAAAACTCTTATAAAGAGATTTTACAGCAAGCAATGATCTTTTCTACAGCTGTGTATCTGCAGCATGTGTTGTCAGGTAGCTAAAGATGTTTTCCTGATTCACAGCAGCGGGGCACAGTGTCCATTTAAGACGTTTACAAAACTAACAGGAAGTGCAGGCACTCTGACAAAAGTTTTTTAAGAAAATGTTTCCCAGTTTTAATTTCAAGCCACATTAGCTTGTAGCGAAGTCTTTAAAGACCTTCAGGAATTGATCACTACATTGCTTCTGACCTGAACAAAGACTTTTAGTAAAACATTCAAATTAAAAACATGCACAGCGATGAACACATTTGACCATCAGTGAGCAGCTCTGTCCATCTTTCTGATTGTCGTTTTTTGTCTGCAGAGTGCTACAGGCTTCCTGCAGTACTTGGACGTGTCGATTGGAAAGGAGGTGGTAGCCATCTGCACCAAAACGGGCCGACTCGATGTGATGTGTCAGAACCCGCACAACGCCATCATCCACCTCGGTCACCCCAACGGCACAGTCACCCTCTGGTCACCGAATCAGAAAGAAGCCCTCGTCAAGATGCTTTGTCACCAAGGAGGTGTGCGCTCGGTCGCTGTGGACAAGACGGGCACGTGAGTCACATCAGCTTCATTACTACAATAAACTTATCTGTTAACATACATATTTCGTGTGGTTATTAAGGTAACTTTGTGCTTGATTTTACCATTTACAGTGAATGACCAGTTGGTTTCCAATCAGAATAAATAACTACAGTGGTTAAATTGTGTTTTCTAACCCAACTTCTTCTTTCAGCTGTTCCCTCTTCAGGCTGCTGTTTAATATACCGTATTTTTTTTAATATTATTAGTGTTTAACGTATATATTAGGTCCTTATATACTGTTTCTTGCTATACTTTATATTTTTGCTGTTTATCATGTAAATAGGACCTTGAGTACATAAATTTGTTCCACCTCATGCACCACATGTGATGAGAACGACTATAAAGAACCTCGAACCTTCAGTGGACGCCACAGCAACCTCAGTTTGTAAATGTGACCGAGCTAACAGCTAGTCAGAGTGGAGCCGAGCCCAGCAGCAACCACACACAAAAGAAAATGATAATCATCAGTTTCCTTTTTATTTTTTTGCAGATACATGGTAACATCTGGAATGGATAAAAAGCTGAAAGTCTTTGACATTAGAGCCTTCAAACCTCTAAAGTCCTACTTCCTTCCTGCTGGAGCTTCATGTTTGTCTCTGAGCCAGAGAGGACTCCTGGCTGCGGCCACGGGGGACATCGTTCAGGTTATTGTTACAAACACACGGGGAATTTATTTTAATTTTACTTATTTATGTTCAGAAATGTATCCATCTGAAAAGGATGAGGTTCAGTTTAGTTTAAAGCAGAGACTTGCAAAGTTTAATCTTGTCTGGATAGTTTGTATGAGCAACTAAACTAATGGTTTTTTTTTTTAATTGGAAAAAGAGTTAAATCACAAGGAATTGTTGCTTGAAGCTCAAATAGAATGGGTGTGATTTGAATTCTTACATAATTGATTTAGTCATATTGAGTTTAAGTAGTTGTAGAATACAGAAAAAGTTCACTTGTTTTTAAAGCAATAGTTCAGAACTTTTGAAGTATGGAAAGGTTATAAACAATTACTGCTCATTGAATGACCGCAGTTTGTGAAATGGACTGATGAGCTAACGCTAGTCCAAGTGGGGCCGAGACCAACATCGTTTGCTGTTGCCTTAAAACAACTCCATCATGGAAAATGTCATTATACAAACCGGATTCCAAAAAAGTTGGGACACTAAACAAATTGTGAATAAAAACTGAATGCAATGATGTGGAGGTGCCAACATCTAATATTTTATTCAGAATAGAACACAAATCACAGATCAAAAGTTTAAACTGAGAGAATGTATCATTTTAAGGGAAAAATCTGTTGTTTCCAAATTTCATGGCGTCAACAAATCCCAAAAAAGTTGGGACAAGTCCATTTTTACCACTGTGTGGCATCCCCCCTTCTTCTTACAACACTCAGCAGACGTCTGGGGACAGAGGAGACCAGTTTCTCCAGTTTAGAAATAGGAATGCTCTCCCATTCATGTCTAATACAGGCCTCTAACTGTTCAATCGTCTTGGGCCTTCTTTGTTGCACCTTCCTCTTTATGATGCGCCAAATGTTCTCTATAGGTGAAAGATCTGGACTGCAGGCTGGACATTTCAGTACCCGGACCCTTCTCCTACGTAGCCATGATGTTGTGATTGCTGCAGAATGTGGTCTGGCATTGTCGTGTTGAAAAATGCAGGATCTTCCCTGAAAGAGATGACGTCTAGATGGGAGCATATGTTGTTCTAGAACCTGAACATAGTTCTTTGCATTAATGGTGCCTTTCCAGACATGCAAGCTGCCCATGCCACAAGCGCTCATGCAACCCCATACCATCAGTGATGCAGGCTTCTGAACGGAGCGTTGATAACAACTTGGGCTATCCTTGTCCTCTCTGGTCCGGATGACATGGCGTCCCAGTGTTCCATAAAGAACTTCAAATCGTGACTCATCTGACCACAGAACAGTCTTCCATTTTGCCACACTCCATTTTAAATGACCCCTGGCCCAGTGCAAACGTCTGAGCTTGTGGAGCTTGCTTAGAAATGGCTTCCTCTTTGCACTGTAGAGTTTCAGCTGGCAACGGCGGATGGCACGGTGGATTGTGTTCACTGACGATGCTTTCTGGAAGTATTCCTGAGCCCTTTATGTTATTTCCTTGACAGTGGCATTCCTGTTTGAGGTGCAGTGACGTTTAAGGGCCCGGAGATCACGAGCATCCAGTAGAGTTTTACGGCCTTGACCCTTACGCACAGCGATTGTTCCAGATTCTCTGAATCTTTTGATGATGTTATGCACGGTTAATGATGATAACTTAAAAATCTTTGCTATTTTACACTGGCTAACACCATTCTGGTATTGCTGCACTATCTTTCTGCGCAACAATGGTGGAATTGGTGATCCTCTTACCATCTTGGCTTCTGAGAGACACTGACACTCTGAGAAGCTCTTTTTATACCCAATCATGTTGTCAATTGACCTAATTAGTGTTAATTGGTCTTCCAGCTGTTCGTTATATGCTCAATTTCCTTTTTCCAGCCACTTATTGCTACTTGTCCCAACTTTTTTGGGATTTGTTGACACTGAACTTTTGAATCAACATATTTTTCCTTTAAAATGTTACATTTACTCAGATTAAACTTTTGATCTGTGTTCTACGTTATATTACGAATAAAATATTGACATTTGCCATCTCCACATCATTGCATTCCGTTTTTATTCACAATTTGTTTAGTGTCCCAACTTTTTTGGAATCCAGTTTGTAGTTCAAGTAAACAGTTTCCTAAACTTCTGCATCGTTGTCATTTACTTGGTTTTCTAGCAGAAATATTATATTCATGAGAAACAGCTGTTTGCATGTTACATATAACTTTAGATTTATATGTAAATAACTGTGTGATGTGAATATCCTGATGCATGCTATTTATAAGACTGAGCTGAATGCAGCACCTCAGACTGAAGAAGTCTTTTGGATGAAAGACGAAACGTTTCTACAATTTTTTTTTGTTGTTTTTTGAACGTCCAGAGGACCTGACTTAACTTTTTTACGTGTGTGATGTGAAACTGATTTTGGTGTAAAGCTTTAGAAAAAAGCTTTAGCACGAACTGCCCGTGAAATTTTTGAGACCAAAATTTGTTTTAAAACAATAGCGGTCCACTTTGAACTAACCGTTAGTGTGTCAGTCTGGTCAGAATTAAACTCTATTTCCACAAATTGTGGTCACTCAAAAAGCTATCTAAAACAGGTAAGATATTTATTATTCATAACCTTTTCATATGAAATATTGTAAACAGTAATGCCATCATCTGTATATAGATTCATCTATATCTTTACCTGCTCTTCTCACCCCATTCAGTTCATTTAGATAACAATTATTTTATTACTACCTTAGCCAGGTCGTCATAAATAAATGAGGACTGGTTCTCAATTGACCTACCTGGTAAAGTAAAGGTTGTTATTAATATTCCACACTTTTCACAGGGTATTGTTTTATCAAAGAAGCTAATGACCTTAAGGTTACATGCAAACTAGTGCAACTAGTTTGACTATATTATGAATTTAACAGCAGTGACACAAATGTGCACTGCTGCAACAACCAAACAATACTTAATCAGTCTGTAATATAAAACTTCTTAGTTAGAACTTATCTTTTTGTGGTTTCTCTTTTTATGTTGCAGTCTACAAGCAGAAGTGCATAAAACATGTATGGTCATATTTTTTCCTAAATGTTAAATTTGTGTACAAACACTCTCCCTGCAGGTGTACAGGGACGTGTGGAGCGCTCCAGTCTCTAAACCCTACATGGCTCACAGGGTTCGGGGGACAGTGTGGGGGCAGCACTTTTGTCCCTTCGAGGATGTCCTTGGAGTTGGACACGGAGAGGGTTTCACCAGCATGCTAATACCAGGTGGGACTGTTTTTAAAAGTTGCCTTGGCAGCGTTTATGCTCAAATTTGTGCGAAGAGTCTACACAAGAACTAAAAATGACTTGCACATGTCGAAAGCTTTAGAGGAAGTATTGTAGAACAGTTTAGGCTTTTTTTTAAACTCGTTTACTCAGTTTCCTTTTGATCTTCCTTCTTCTTAAGTCTTGTGACCTGCTTTAGTCAGGCAGTGTCTGCATGTTTGACTCAAATCATAAATCAACATGAAGAGGCAAGGGCAGCCCTGTTGGTATCTAGAGTTTGAGACTAAAATCATTTTATAAGAAAAGATGGCGTTGATTCTTCTTTGGTTAAACTTTTCTTTTTTTTTAATTATGTTACTTTTGATCTTATGATAGTGTTTGAAGCCTAAAATTTGTCATCGTGACAGGACTAGGAGTAATGTGCTCTCTTTTGCCTGTACCAGTTAAAAATTGTGCTGCAGCATTTTGAACCAGTTGTAATCATGCAGTGGAGGTCTGACTGATTCCAAACAGAAGTGCATTGCAGCAATCAAACCTGGATGTTATGAAATCATGTATTACTGTTTCAAGGTTACTTTGGGACAGTAGGGACTTCAGTTTAAACAGTCGCCTCAACTGGAGAAACAACAGGATTTAACAATCATGTTTACATGATGGTTTAGTTTCATGGAAATGTCCATTATCACTCCCAGATTAATGACAACTTGTTTATCTAACGGGGCTAGAGAGGAAAGGTCGATACCGTGGTTCTTGATCGTGCCATTAGGTGGAAACAACAGCACTTCTGTCTTCTCATTGAAACTTAAGAAATTTAAAGCCATCCAGTCCCTGATGTCGGCCAGTCATTCAAGAAGAGGTTGAATAGAGCATGCACCAGTGTGCTTCAGAGGGAAGTACATTTGACAGTCATCAGTGTAGAATTGAAAAGGTTATATAAAGGTTATATAAAGGTTATATAAAGCTGTTGTGTTGTGTATAGAATAAGACTGATTAGCTGAGGGAGCCATCTTGAATTGGGTTGAGATGTTGTTGATTTGTATCCATTGGTTACTTTTTGAAATTTCCATTAAAATCCATTAAGTAGTTCATGAGAGAAGTTTTTACTAACATGGTAGATGAATGAACACACACACACACACACACACACACACACAAAGACGGGCAAAGACATTATCCTCCTTTCTCCTTTGGTATGAGCAATAAGTTCTGTACCAGGTTCTGTAATGTGTCAAATCTAACTTCAAGTGTAATTGTTCAGTTTTGGGCTCATTCTTCTTTAATAGATAATGACACTGTGGAATGTGTTGTGTGTTTTTGTACACTTGAGTTTAGATTTGACTAATTTTAGAACCTGGTAAACATAGAATTTCTTTTAATATGCCTTAAAAATTAGGGTGGACTTTATTTTTTGTCATGGCTGTTTTTGTACAGACTTTGCTTTTATGTGTGTGGTTCCTTATTTTGCTGCACTCGGGACAATTTTGGGGCTGCAGCGTTCAGGTGGAGGGGAACTGAGAAAACACTCACTGGTTCAAATTGTAGAGAACTTTACTAATTGGCTTTTCTATGTATGTGAATGTTTCTGTAAAGTGCTCTGAGACAACTTTGTTGTGAATTGGTGCTATATAAATAAACTGAATTTACTTGAATAATTATGTCTGTACACACCTACAAAATAGCTGTTTTCACGTAAAATTAACTTTATTATAGTTTGTCGTCTGATTGTACTTTTCTTTTTTCTGCTTGCTTTGCTGGGTTACTATGTATGATCAGAGATGAAACTGTCCTACATTTGTGGTGAATGATTTATATATTTATATTTTCATCTCATCACTCTTCCAGGTGCTGGTGAACCTAACTTTGACGCCCTTGATGCAAATCCCTACCGTAGTGCAAAGCAAAGGCAGGAGTGGGAGGTCAAAGCCCTGCTGGAGAAGATACAGCCAGACCTCATCAGCCTCGACCCCACGAAGCTGGGACAGGTTGACCATGCGACCTTTGAGCAGAAGCATCAAGAGAGGGTTCAGGCTCTGGTCAGTGTATTTAAAAAAAAAAAAAAAAGTTATTCAAAATGTAAATCTGACATTTAAAGTCAATAATCACTCATGCTCATGTCATGCTTGTCTTCCAGGGCTTTGACCCACTTGCTAAAGAAAAATTTGTTCCAAAATTTAAGAAGAAAGGTCGCAGTTCTGCCGGCAGTATTGAAAGGCGCAAGAGACAAGTGGCTGATGTGGATCAGAGGGTAAGAAGCCCAGAATATGAGCTAAAGTTTGACCTGTCAGCATACTGGTTGAAATCAGAGCTGCATCATATTGTTGAAATAAGGTTGAATGGATTGTGAAATCCTGCTACATTTTGCAAATACATCCTCAGTTGCAAGTTACAGACGTTTCCTTCACTCCTCCCTCTCTTTTGTAACCAGCACAATTATAACACTCTGTTTTTACTTTGAGGCGTCATCTCACTGGGCTGTGACAGTTGGGAACAAGTTGATGGATCAGAACTGAGAGAAAATAGATTTTGAGTTGCAGTCTGACATTTTCAGTTTGTAAGCAGCGAGCCGCGCAGCTGCTTTTTGCACTGCCAGTTAAAAAACAACATAATAATAATCGTTTTTTGTGTTCACGGTTTGCAAAACTGCTCTCTAAGTTGTACTCTTTAGTGTTGCCCACATTGTACCTGCTTCATTTCATTTGTGTACGGCCATACCTCCCTGAACACGCCCAATCTCATCTGTTCTTGGGAGCTCAGCATGGTCAGGCTTGGTTAGTTCTTGAGATGGGAGACGGACTGGGAATACCAGGTGCTGTAAGCTTTGGGGCGGCTGTGGCTGAGTGGTTAGAGCAGTCGTCCTCCATTGGGAGAGTTGGGGGTTTGATTGCACCAGCAGTCACATGTTGAAGTGACCCTGGACAAGACACTGAACCCCTCGTTGCCTCTGATGTGTCATTGGTGTATGAATGTGATCTAAAGCTCTGATTAGTCTCTGCAGATTCAGATTATCTTTGTAGAGATCTAGGAGAGTGCTGTATGAATGTGTGTGGAGATAAATGAGGGCACAGATGGTGTTGTAAAGAGCTTTGAGTATTTTAATTAGATAGAAGGGAGATAAATAAGCACAGTTCATTTACCATTCATCCTACGTTGAACTCCCATTGGTTGCTGCCCCCATCCATTATCTTCCACTTGTTCTGAAGTCGGGTCGTGGGGGCAGCAGCTTGAGCAGGGAGGTCCAGACATCTCTTCCACAACCACTTCCAGCTCTTCTGGGGGGAGCGCAATGTGTTCCCAGGTCAACCGAGAGACATAGTCTCTCCAGCGTGTCCTGGGTCTTCCCCGGGATTTTTTCCCAGTTGGACATGCACCTCCCTAGGGAGGCGCCCAGGGAGCATTCTTATCAGACGACCGAACCACCTCAACTGGCTCCTTTCGATGTGGAGGAGCAGCAGTTCTACTCCGAGTCTCTTCCGAATAACTGAACTTCTCACCCCATCTCTAAGGGAGAGTCCAGCTACCCTGCGGAGAAAACTCATTTCGACCGCCTGTATCCACGATCTCATTCTTTCGGTCACTACCCAGAGCTCGTGACCATAGGTGAGGGTAGAAATGTATACTGACCAGTAAACAGAGAGCTTTGCCTTACAGCTCAGCTCCCTTTTCACCACAATGGACCGGTACAGAGTCCACAATACTGCAGACGCTGCACCAATTCTGCCAATCTCACGCTCCATTCTTCCCTCACTTGTGAACAAAACCCAGAGGTTAGGGGTGCACCGATAAATCGGCCGGCTGATTTATCGAACCCGATTTCCTTAATTTTTGAATTCGGAACTCGGCCGATACTTGCATGAAAATCTGATTTTACCAATTTTTTTTTTTTTTAGTTTTAACAACAACTGTCTGAACTTAATTTATATTTCAGAGCACTACCTCATGGCCAGTTAAAACAAGTTTGTCTTGTTTTTAGAAAATTGTTCAAGAGTATGTTTTTAAATAAAATAAGATTAGAAATTTGATGGTGCATTGTGACCTTATAACACCTGACAGTGTCGCTTATAAAACAAAATTGGTATAAATGGCCAAAATCAGAATCGGCTGGTCAGACTTTTTAGAAATCGGTGATCGGCCAAAAAACTGCAATCGGTGCACCCCTACCTGAGATACTTGAACTCCTCCACTTGAGGCAGAACCTCACCCTCGACCTGAAGAGAGCAGTCCACCCATTTCTGATTGAGGACCATGACCTCAGGTTTGGAGGTGCTGATTCTCATCCCAGCCGCTTCACACTCAGCTGCAAACCGCTCCAGTGAGAGCTGAAGATCTGAAGGTTGCTGCCCCCATATTTATAATTTAATCTGGTGGAGAACACCTTGGAATAGAAGTTGAGCAAATTAGGACCACTTTTTAAAATTGTTCTTTATGTTCAGTGTGGTTAGTTCTAAAAAGTTGCTAATTAGTTTATTAGTTTGCCTAAAGCCATAAGTATGATATATTGTGTTTGCTCTGGTTTCACAAACATTAATATACTGTACATGTAGTTTTGCAAATGCAAACAATGCATACACATTTCATGTTACAATACATATTTTTCATACATAAACAATATAAACAAGTATCAATCTCTTTAAAATTTAGTAAACCTGTAATTGAACCCGTTTTCATTGTTGTTTTAAATTCATTTCAATTTATATATTTCCAAGTCACAACAAAAGTCATCTCAGGGCACTGAACAGAAACATTCATATATATATAAAAAAACAAAACAAATTAACACTATTTATCTGAGGAGCAGACTGCTTTGAATTCAACTCCCATCGCAGATATGCAAATGCAAATCTTTTACATACACTCCAGGTGAAGGGCAGGTTTACTTTTAAGGAAAAGACGTCTACCATTTAGAATGGCCTCAACTTCACAAAGAACTGTTTGAAGTTCATTATCACCAAGTGTCTGTTTCAGCGAGATTGAGCCAAGCACTTTTTTGATCGTTCGAATGATGCATTCCCAAACGCCACCATGGTGCGAGGCGATTGGAGGAATAAAACTCCTCTTGACTCCATGTTGAAATGATGCTCCTTCGAACTTTGTTTTGATTTAATTTTGTTCAAGCCTCTTTTATGTTCCCTTTCTGTGCCACCAAAATTAGTACCATTATTGGGATGAATGAGTGACTTGGCCTCAGCTGCTCATGAATCGTCTCAGGGCATTAATGCATGTATCTGTGTTCAAAGAAGGGTTCATCTCTATGTGAACAGCTCTGTTGGCCAGACAAGTAAAAATCAATTTGTAACGTTTACGAACACTTCTTATTCTTTTTATCTTGAGTGGATCGAAATAGAACTTCTCCTTTTAGCTGTAGGTTTTCTGGATAAAAAGACATCAGTTTCCTCTTTGAATTGCTGATGCTGAACATAGCGAATTATGCACATTTCTGCCTTTAAAAAGTCATCTGTTGAAGGACTTTAAGACTCAAAAGCACCTTTAGCCTTCTTATCAAGCTGCGCTGAGGGTGAGTGAGTCATTTGCATTAGAGACATGCAACTTTTTTCTTCTGCTGCTAGTTTTGAGGAACTTTTTTATCGTGAGGAACGAGGCAACATTAAGCTTTTTCTAATCTGAGAAGTAAGTGAGAATCTTGTCAGCAACATTACTGACAATCACTGTGTTTATGATGAAGTCTCTCTTCACTTCTGGGTCATTGTTGGAGAAAATCTCACTACCCAAAAGAACCACAGAGTGTCAGGAGAAGATTTTTAACATTCAGATACATAAAGCAAGTCACATGTCACAGAATTGAGCCGTGTTATCTGCTCACTTTTGTCCTCGTCAGCTCTGCTGAGTTCACAGAGTTTAGGAGGTATCCTTGAAGCCAGCTGCAGTCTCCTTACACAGCACTCCATTCACTCAAACATATGGTTCATGGGCAGAGATAAAGTAGTGTCTTTGGAGACGGTTTAGGCTTGTTTGGGGCTTCTTGTTCTCACCGCAGTGGGGAAGAAAGTCTCAGCCATATTAATAACAACATCCATAACTTTTGACCAAAAATTCCCTGACAGTCATCCACTGGAATGAAGGGTTTCTAGTGTAAGGGTTATCTTTAATCAACATCCCCAACTGGAAGGTATCACTTTCAATAAAAGACCAAGGGCTTTCTCCTTGGGAAGGTTATCCCAATTCAAGTCCAGTTTTTTTTTTTTTTTTAAGTCCATGGCTTTTTGTTACAGTCAAAAGTTTATATTCTTCAACTTCCTGACTCAGATTGTCCTCAGGTCACCACTAGGGCATTAACAGAGTACTCGAGTAATCTACACATCGATTGCTAGGACATCTATCGAGGTTAAAAATTTAACATAGAGTATCCGTAGTGACATCGTATTATGTGACCACCGTATGATCGTAGGGGTCGGTGTTGCACTGTTGCAGGTCACAGAGTATGGTGTAACACTGGGTCCAATCCACCGAACCAGAACCAGTTTCGGTTTAAGTTTAGTTTTTGACGTGCTGCGTGTTTCTTCACGTTTGCAGTTTAATAATAATAACTAATAGTTTAGTTTTTCCTGTGATTTATTTGCAGTATGATAAATGGTAGGAGCATAATATACGCTCCCAATGTTTTGTTGGTCTTTTTTTTTTTTTTTGTAAATAATTACCTTTTTTTGCGGTTTTATTTATTTATTTATTTTTGTATCTTGAGATCTATGACATCAAATACTTGAGTTCTACTCGGGTTTTATTATGTTAATGTCGAGTTTTAAAATTATATACTCGTTCAACCCCTAGTCACCACAGAAAATGAAGGAAGTCTTTATCCATTTCATTTACCACTCCCTGATAAAACATTTCCTGAATGTCACCCATTACAGACACATGCTCCGGCCGAAACCTTGTAAGCACACCAGACTAAGGGTGTTTTCACACCTGATAGTCCGGTAGACTCGGTTTGATTGGGGACCAAAATTCAGAACATTAATTTACATTTCAGCTGGTGTGGTTTGCATTCACACTGCGCAGAGTCAATCGAGCCAGGCCCCC